CTCCGCCTCCCGGGTTCAAGCCATTCTCCTGCCTCAGCCTCCCGAGTAGCTGGGATTACAGGCGCCGCCACCATGCCCGGGTAAATTTTTGTATTTTTGTTTGCTTTTGTTTTTGAGATGGAGTTTCGCTCTTGTCACCCAGGCTGAAGTGCAATGGCGTGATCTCGCCTCACTGCAACCTCCCCATCCCAGGTTCAAGCAATTCTCCTGCCTCAGCCTCCTGAGTAGTTGGGACTACAGGCGCCTGCCACCGTGCCCAGCTAATTTTCGTATTTTTAGTAGAGATGGGGTGTCACCATGTTGGCCAGGATGGTCTCGAACTCCTGACCTCAGGTGATCCTCCCACCTTGGCCTCCCAAAGTGCTGGGATTACAGGCACGAAGCACTGTGCCCCAGCCACCTAGAATTTGTTATATATATTATGTGGTCAGGATTAATTTTTCCATATGGATAACCAGTTATCCCACCCTATTGAGGAAAGATGGACCCATCATCATTTATAGCGTCATATATCAAGTTTCCAAATAAGGAAGTCTCGTCTGGGCTCCTCGTTCTCTCCTATTGTTCTGTTTCTCCCCATGCCAAAACAACATGGTTTTAGTTGCCATGACTTTATAGTATGTTCAGAGTATGGCAACATATGTTTCAGGGGGACTAGTGTATCGCAAGGAAACAAATATCTAAATTTTATGCCACAGTGTGGTTATACATCCATGAGAGTTCTAGCTTCATCTTGGTTCAGAGAGCTGAGGGCATGGGACAGTAGGGATTTGAGCCCTGGGAGAAGCGGGAGGGTTTAGATGTGTCAAAGAAGGTCCTGAAATAAAATGAATATCAAGAAGTTCAGGGGAAATGTAATAGATACACTCCTTGAATATTAGAGCCAGGTGGGACCTTTGCAGTAACGAAACATTGTGTGCAGGTGCGGAAGGGGCGGCCCGGTGGCCGCGTGTCCCACCTTTGGTGTCAGACAGACCAGATTTGATCTTTAACAGGACACTTCACCTCTCTGGAACTTAATTTCCTTGTTTATAACATAGGGCAGCAATAGACTTTTCTTATAGGATTGTTGAGAGGACTAAGTGAAATGATGTACATACGGGGCTCGCAGTGTACTGGCACACAGCTACATGACAATTCAGTTTTGGTTATTTTTAGCCTATTTCCTTGATTCTAAGACCAGCTCCACCCTGCCCCCCAACACACATTTTACAATTCCTAAATTAGAACAAGCTTTACCACCACCTTCTACAATGATCCGTTTTCCCTCCTGGATCATTGTTTAGAACGTAGGAAACAAACAAACAGAAAGCTTAACTTGGGGAGTTACACTGTACGACATTCGGCACACTTTAATCTGTGTGCAAAATGGAAGCAGATGCCTTCCAGAAAGGAGAGGTTGAGAGAGAATCATGGACAACTACAGCTGTCCTGTGCCCAGCACGTGACACCCACCGGGTGGGATGTGGCAAGTGTGGAGGGTTCTGGAAACTGAGATTTCCACCCCGGGCTCTGCCACTTACGAGCTGTGTGAGCTTGCCCCAGTCAGGTCACCTCTCTGAGCCTCTGCTTTCCCCTTCCAGCAGGGCGGGTGATCCTAACTGCTGCTGCCACTCATCTGGAGAGCCAGGTGCGTGACTACCTGAGTGGGCCTTGCCACACATAAGCACTCTGTGAATGGAGCTGTTTGCAGCTGTTCCCTAGAGGCACTCCTCCCCCTCTGCCTGGCTGTGCTTTGCTTTGGGGGATTTCTTTTTTTTTTTTTTTTTTGAGACAGAGTCTCGCTCTCTTGCCCAGGCTGGAGCGCAGTGGCGCAATCTTGGCTCACTTCAACCTCTGCCTCACGGATTCAAGCGAACTCTCTTGCCTCTGCCTCCTGAGTAGAGTAGCTGCGATTACAAAATGCGCCACCACGCCCGGCTAATTTTTGTGTTTTTAGTAGAGACAGGGTTTCGCCATGTTGGCCATGCTGGTCTCGAACTCCTGACCTCAGGTGATCCATCTGCCTTGGCCTCCCAAAGTGCTAGGATTATAGACGTGAGCCTCTGTGCCTGGCTGGCTTTGGGATTTCTTTATCATTCTTCCCCTGAATTACAGAAATCCTGCCCACTCTTCAAAGCCCATGTCACGTGTTTTCTCATCCCCTGGTTTGAACCTGTCTCACACTCCCCGCCTCATCTTGGATGCCTATTGGTCACTTTTGGGCCCCCTTCGTCTCTTACGGAATTTTCAGCGTTATAATATGGCTCTTCCAGGACTGTTTGATGTACTCCAGAGGACTGTCAACCCTTTGAGGGCAGGAGTGTGTCTTAACTTTGGCAAACCCTGTAATGCTAACAGAGAACAGCACTATAGCACTGTAAAGAAGGTGAAATCACATGTATACATTTGCTGAGTGCCTACTGTGTGCACACAGTGCAGTGGTGAGCAGAACAGACACAACCCGCGTCTTCTCATAGCCCACTGTTCTGGTTCCCACCCACGCCCAGCAGTGATGCCGGCCAGGCAGAGAAATGCCCTTGTGCCCTAGGTCAGTTCAGCCTGCTCGTCAGGCTGTGTGTGACCTTCTGCATGACTTTTGGGATGGTGCTGTTGTGCTGTGTGAGTTAGGTGGGAGGTCAGCTTGGGCCCACCGTGTTGGCATGGGGGTAGGCACGCAGAGGGTGGCTGGATGTCCATCTGCATGGCTAGAAAGGAGGATCTGGTGGTGAAGTGTGTGGATCAGGACCCCGCTACTGGTGGAGAAGGCTCATGCAGCCGTGATCCCTGGCCCAGGAGAAGCTGTGATCCTGAGCCTAATGCCTCCCTCAATGGCTTTACCCTCCAAGTGGCTGCCCTTACGTTCAGGCCTGGAAATTACTCTCTACAGGACAGGAGGCGCCTGCTGTTTGGCGTAAGTGGAGGTTGCCCTGCAGAGCCTGGAGGTCAGTGCTAATTGGGCCCTGTGGCACCCGTAAACTCACTTAATGACCACCTGGATGTTGGGCCTCATGCTAGGGCTTGCGTTCTTTATCTGCAAAGGCAGAGGACACTGGAAAAACCAGTTAGGGTGTGTGAGGAGCATTTTATGTCGATATCAAGGGAGTGTCGATATCCTGAAGTGGTTCAGGAGCCTGGAAATATATGCGATCTGGCTTTTTCAGAAAGTCGGCCATGTTGAATACGGCAGCAAGACCTTTTTAGGAGTCACATCTGAACAGGCAAGTGGGCAGGATCAGAGTTTGGGGTTGGCTCCTCTTCCCTCTGATGGGAAAGGTGCCCAGCACGTCACCATGAGCAGCACTGGGGTTCGGCGTGGTCAAGAAGTGTTCACTGGCATGGGACCAGAGACCTTCGGAATAGCTAAGACGGAGTATGGCCCAGTGGGCATGGCTGTGCTCGGCCAGCGTCTTGGCCGGTGGGGAGCTGTGGTGAGAACTCCAGGAACATGCGCCGTGTGGCTCTGCTGCCCTCCCTGTTCCTAGGATTCCCACCCACCACATTTGGCATCAAATTATTGCTCAGCAAACCTTTCATTTTTATTTTTGTAGAGATGGCAGCTCGCTCTGTTGCCCAGGTTGGAGTTGGAGACCAGCCTTCCTCAGCCTCCCAAAGCACTGGGATGATAGGTGTGAACAAACATTTGCAATGAATGATTTAATTTCATATTCTTTGTCCATTCCATTATTCGTTGGTGAGGGTGGGAGTGTATTTGCTTTCTGTGGCTACTGTAACAAGTGGATACAAACGTGTTAATTACAGATGCATTAACTTAAAACAACAAATGATTCTCTCACCATTCTGGAGACAAGCAGTCGGAAATTCAGCAGGGTTATGCTCCTGGGGGATCTTGGGGAGACTTCGAGCTTTGGTGGCCCCAGGCTTCCTTGACCTGTGGTGCCGTCACTGCAGTCTCTGCCTCTGTGGTCACATGGTGCCTCCTCTCTTTTCTGTCTCTTGTGTTTCTCATAAGCACACTTGAATTGAGGGCCCACCCCGATAATACAGGGTGACTTCCTCATCTCAGAATCTTAATTGTGTCTGCTAAGACTACTATTCCAAATATAAGGTCACATTTCCAGGTTCTGGGGATTAGGATGTGACATCTTTTTGGGGACCACCATTCAACCCACTACAGGGGTATTTTAGTACTAATGAATTGCTTTTTGAGCTATATAATGGCTCTTTTCTGGGCGTGTTGGCTCGTGCCTATAATCTTAGCACTTCGGGAGGCCAAGGCAGGGGGATCACTTGAGCCCAGGAGTTCGAGACCAGCGTTGGCAACATAGTGAGACTCGGTCTTTACAAAAATAACAAATTAGGCATGCTGGCGTCTGCTTGTAGTCTTAGCTACTTGGGAGGCTGAGGTGGGAGAATAGCTTGAGCTGGGAGATTGAGGCTGTAGTGAGTCAATTGCACCACTGCACTCTAGCCCGGGTGACAGAGCAAGACTCTGTCTCAAAAAATAAAATAAAATAAATAAAAACCCATAGTCACTGGGTTTGCTCTTCCTAGTCTGCAGTTGCATTAAGTTTTTTGTATTCATATATAGAAATAATTTTAAATTTTATATAGCCAGATGTCCTTTTCTTTCCATTGATTTTAGGTTCAGAAAGTTCTTTCTTATTGAGTATCTGATAAATAGTCATTCATGGTAAAATAAAACCTTAAGAAATTGACTTTTAAAAACATGGACTAATGAGAATTGTATTTATCATGTGCAACATGATGTTTTGAAATACGTATCCATTGTATATTGGTTGAGTCTAGCTAAGTAACATAGACATTACCTCATATTTATTATTTTTTTGTCGTGGGAGCACTTGAAATAGACTGTTAGCAATTTTCTAGAATACAATTAATTGTTATTAACAATAGTGACCATGTTGTTCAATAGATCCCTTGAACTTATTCCTCCTGTCTAATGGGAATTTGTATTCTTTGATGAACATCTTCCCTATTCCTCCACAAGAAATTGACTTTTTAATGTAATGATAACTTGTTTTGATATTTGCTGTAAGGATCTGCACTCGGAAAGAAACAGCTAGTCTCCACATGTGATAAAATTTCATGGATCTATACACATACAAGCCTACAGAAAAAGAGAGAGGGAACATGCAAAACCCAGAGAAATCGAAGTAAGATCTGCAGTTTTGATAGTGTACCATGGTTGCATCAGATGCTGCGATGGGGGATGCTGGCACAAGGTACACAGAACTTTAATGTACTTCTTTTTTTTTTTTTGAGACCAAGTCTCGCTCTGTTGCCTAGGCTGGAGTGCGGTAGTGCAATCTTGGCTCACTGCAACCTCCGCTTCCTGGGTTCAAGTGATTCCCCTGTCTCAGCCTCCTGAGTAGCTGGGACTACAATCGCACGCCACCATAGCTAATTTTTATATTTTTAGTAGAGACGGGGTTTCACCATATTGGTCAGGCTGCTCGAACTTCCTGACCTCCTGACCTCAAGTGATCCCACCTGCCTCAGCTGGGTGCTGGGATTACAGGTGTAAGCCACTGTGCCTGGCCATATTTTTATAACTTCTTAAGAGTCTATAATTATTAACAATAAAAAATTAAAAAGCTAATTAGATATACCAATACCAATTATTAAATGATTTATTGTATTATTTGTAAAACATCCTTTATTAAGTTGCGATATATGCTAGAGTCTTGTAAAATTGTAGTTCAACATTTAATTTTGGGAAAATTGACGTCATTTGAGATATATATATAACAGTCTTCCCTTCTGGGAGCATGGTGTGTCCTGTTTATTCATGGTATATTTTATATTTCAATAAAATGTGTGTAGTTTCCTTCAGATTTCATAGATGTTTTTAAATGTTCTGTTATTATGGCTGGATGTTTTTTCCATTTATATTCTTTGTCCAGCCTGTGCTGGTTATATGTCCCTGAATATAATTTCCATACCCTTTCAAATGCATGGAATTCTTTTAACTGGGGAACATGCTTTGCATTCTCCTATTAGAGACAATGTTTAACAGGCTTCTTCGTTCCTTCAAACCTGCTCTCAGAAAGGCTGTGGTTGGTTATTTACCCTGTAATGTGAATTTCAGTAGCTGTGTTCTCCATCCTAATGTATTGGAGGGTTTGTAGAGACGTATGAGTTTGTGTTCAGAGATTTTAATGCTAACTGTATTTTCCTGGATTCTGTTTGTTTGAACATTGTAGAGGTGCCGTCTCTAGTAGGGTCACACGGTGTATTGCCTGGGGTATCCTAGGCTCGACCAGGCGGGGTGGACAGACTGATGTCAGTCCAGAGAGTGAGCTGAGCTGGCTGTGGGCTTTCTTCTCTGCTTTGCTCCCCAGGGCCTTGAGGCCTGGATGGGCACTGAGGGTATTGAGAAGGCTGCTAGCTGGATGAACCCCAAATTTAGGAACACTCAGAAATGGAAAATGTCCCGTTAACCCCCATCCAGGTCAGTCTTACGAAATCCGACTACTGGAGAATCGGAAGCTGGGCGACTTTCAAGATCTGAACACAAAATATGTCAAGGTAAGCCTCACAGGCCATTCTCACCGCCTCGGGGAGAGGGGCCTGATTAGGATCTGGGCACCTGGGCTTGCTGGAGTTGGGCACGAGTAACTGGAAGGTTAGGGAGAGGCCAGGTTCAGCTCAGCCCTCAACGGTGAGACAGCCCCTGTTTGGCTTCTCTGGAGCCTGTTGCCCAGGTGGGGATTAGATGGGCTGGCAGCGTTGAACTTTTCTGAGCCTCAGTTTGCTCATCTGCACAAAAGGGTTAATAAATTAGACATAAACACACAGCATTTAGTAATACCGGGACAAATGGTAGTCATCGCTGTTGTTGCTGTTGTTAGTGTTACTGGGATCTGAGGAGGGGATAGTGGGCGAAGCTGGAGAACTGGGAAAGGAAACTCCAGGAGGAGGGGCCTCAAAGGTGGGAGGGTTTGCTGTGGCTCAGGGAAAAGAGGCGGGTTCCTCTTGGCCCCCATGGTCACTTGTTCCCCTGCTGGCCTCCCTCCCCAGAGCATCATCCGCGTGGTCTTCCATGACCGCCGGCTGCAGTACACGGAGCACCAGCAGCTGGAGGGCTGGCGGTGGAGCCGGCCAGGAGACCGGATCCTGGACATCGGTGAGTCTCCTGGCCGGGAGAGGCCAGGCAAGGCTGGAGGCACCCACGCCACGTTGGGTTCTTCCTGGATGCCACTGGGACTTATGCCGAGAAGGCGTTTTAGCTTGCGCCTGCTCTGTGTAAAACCCCACGGGAGCTTGCAGAGCTGACCATACACTGGGTCCTGCCCTCAAGGAGTACCCGTTTTCAGTGGAAAAGAAAGGTCTGTGGAATTGAGAGACCTGCTCACAGGGAGTTCCGGGAAGGCTTTGCGGAAGGATGGTGCCTTAAAGGATTTTGATAAGTGTTGAAGATAACCGTGAGCATCACAGAGATAGATCGGCAATGGAAATGGAATTTGGGGCCTCTGGGACTGGCCCACAGTCCTTTACCCATAATCCTTGTGGCCAGGTGGGTTTTGAAATTCAGAAGCTAGAATGCCAATACGGTGTGCGTACCCAGAGCATTAGGGAACATCTCCAACAGGCAGCCAAGCACGGTCATATTTCTGTAGCAAAATAAAATGACGGTTCATACATAATGGGGTGAAGACGACACAGTGCTTGTGGTTCAGGTCAGGCTTTCCGTCCAGTAAGTTATGCAAAACTTTTTCAGAGCTTTCGGCATTTCACACTGGGGTGAAGGAATTGGGACCTGTAACGGGGGTCCTTCCCGAAATATTTGGGAGAGGCTGACAATTGCACTTTCTGTGTGTGTGTGTGTGTATGCAGATATTCCACTGTCTGTTGGTATCTTGGACCCCAGGGCCAGCCCGACCCAGCTGAATGCAGTGGAGTTTTTGTGGGATCCTGCGAAGAGAGCTTCTGCATTCATCCAGGTGGGCCACAGGGAGCTTGCCCTCCAGGGGAAGACCTAGCCTTCGGGGTGGCCGCCTTGCAGTTTCTCAAAACTAACCCATCTGGAAGGGTCTGGATGAGCTTCTGCTCCCTGTCACTGAGAAGGAAACTGCAGGAGAGAGAGAATGAGTGTTGCGAAGAGTCACAGAGCTCGTTGGTCCATATTTAGGGAACAGAGTGGGGAGGGTTTTAGAATTCTATCTGGGTTTTGCCCATAGAATATATAAGCTTTATACATGAGTATTTCCCAACATAAATCATTTGAAAGTAAACATGTTTTCTATTATAGTTTCTATTAGTGAATGAATTATTTTGTTGTCAAGCGCTGGTGTGGATCCAGCCTTTTGTTACATGCCACGTGAGATCACGGTGGTGAAGGATGTGACTGTGTTGTTGTGGTTGTGGTTCTGCCTTGATCCCGCCTCTCTCGCTTGCTGTGTGTCCTTGAGCAAGTCCCCTCCCCTTTCTGAGCCTCTTAGTTTTCTAACCTCCCATCTTATAGATCAGATAATGAATACAGAGCTGTTAGCACTGCCTGGTCCCTAGGAATCACTCAATAAAAGTTAGCAATCTTTTCTTTCTCTCTTTCTTTCTTTTTTTTTTTTTTTTGCAATTACAATATTCTCAATATATTTAAAAATTATTACATTGTTATTATTATAATTATATATTGGATTCTTATAATATCATTGCAGTATTATAACAATACATTGACATCGAGTCCATTTATGTAGTAGGAACTTACCAGAAATACAGAAATGGTTCCAGCCTTCTGGTTATGCTTCCAGCCTGGCCTGAGTAGCTTGGACACCAGGACATTAGAGAGGGGTTAGGGCTGTGCTGTGGTCCCTGCCCTCCATCTAGGATTTGCCAAGGGAAAGGAATCTGGGTGAGGAGTTAGGTTGAGGTCATTGGGGTCAGTGACCTGGGGAGTGGTGGGGACTTAACTGGTCAGGCAGGGCCTCCACAGTAAAGAGACAAAAGTGGGGATGTGTGTCTTTTGCAGGGAGAGGAGCAGGGAGGCCACCGGCCTGATGGAGTGGACAGAGTATCGGGGAGAGCAGGAAGGTCGGGGCAGGCCTGCACTGACCAGGCAGGGAAGGACACCTCCACATAGAGGGGGCGCTTGGGGGATCCAGGGCCCTGCTCGGTGCTGCCTTGCCACTGCCCAACGTTTCTCCTCCCAGGTACACTGCATCAGCACAGAATTCACCCCCAGGAAGCATGGGGGCGAGAAGGGAGTGCCCTTTCGAGTCCAGATTGACACGTTTAAGCAGAACGAGAATGGGGAGTACACGGAGCACCTGCACTCAGCCAGCTGCCAGATCAAGGTGTTCAAGGTAGGAAGGCTTCGCAGGCTCTGCCCTGCCCTGCCCTGCTGCTGGCCTGGCCCGTGGTCACAGTCACCCGCAGAGACCCTAGAGATTCCTCTTAGAGGCCCGGCAAGGAACGCAGCATCCCTTTAGCACATGGCTTCTACCTGGACTCCTAATGCGCACAAGCTGCAAGTCCAGATACCACAGGCTGCTGCTGCCCTGCTGGGGGCATGTTTTCACCTGTGGCACCCGCTCAGCTTCTGGCAGAAGCATCGGCGTGGATGTCCGTCCTGGCTGTCGGTCCTCGGCGCTACTCTGTAAGAATGATTGGATTTGTACATTTTAGCTTTTTTTCCTCCCAAGCACATTATAGTAGCTCACGGGTGCTCACGTCCGGATTCTCCTTAAAAATCAAAGCAAGAGTCCCTCCCTGCTGGAGGCCTGGCCTCAGATCTTCCTGTTTAGGACTTGAAGCCATTTTTCTCTTTGCAGTGACTTCCTGTTAGAGAAACATTTTCAGGGGGACCGTCTCCCTTTTCTCTCCTTGCTTCATTCCTTACAGTCGCCTGTCACTATTTTCCATCTCTTCAATCTGGACTGATTATTTCCTGAAGATAGTAGCCAGCGATACAGCTCAGTGTCCTGTGTGGCCTCAGGGAGATGCGGAGGGTTGCATGAGCTTGCATCATTCTCAGGGCGTGAGGGCAACCCATGTCCAAGCAGGCCCCAGCCCCACAGTCCCCAGCCCCTATAGGCCCTGTCTGCCAGGGCCACTCTGGCAGGTGTCTGCAGAGAAGTAGTGGACCACCTTCTGGGCTGGAATTGCCTTAAGTAACCAGCCCTGGTGCTTATTCCAGCTTCCTCTTGTTTCCCATTCAAGTGTATTTGGAGCCTGCTGAGAAAGTTCCATCTTCTGGGTCTGGAGACCCAAGAGGCAGTTGCTTTAGACTGGACCCTTTAGAAAGCTGGGTGTGTGCTGATCTTCCCCCAGACCGAAGGCACGGGCCCGTGGAACACCCATGTTTGGAATGGAAGTGGGAATAAATGCCCACGGGTAGAACCATAAACCTGGGGGCAACCCTGGAGACAGGGATGGTGCCATTTTTCACAGAGCCTGGGCCACAGTGAGCACTGGGCCGTGATCTGGGGACGCCATCACCATCACAGCTGCAGGAGAGAGGGCTGAGGACGAGCTGATGGAGTCTGCACTCAGGAGACCACACAGCCAGGCTGCCTGGGAGTTGTGGCACAGGGTTCTGAGACCCCGGCCCAGCTCTGTGGTTTGGGACGCCTTGGTTAGTCAGTGATGTCGGCCCCAAGTGGGAGGCAGAAGTGGCAGGAGGGATGTGTGTTCGTCTTTCCTGGCAGAGCAGTGGCCTCCAAGGGGAGCTGTGCTCCTCTGCTCTGCTTGTTTCCTATTGCTGCTGTCACAAATGACCACAACTTTTGACTTAAAACTGTGTGCATTTATTATCTTCCAGTGCTGGCAGTCAGAAGTCCGGAATGGTCCTCACTGGGCTAAAGGTGTCAGCGGGCCTGCGTTCCTTTCCCAACGCTCTGGATGCGGCTCTTGCCTATTCCAGCTTCTAAAGCCGTTTCTAGGTTCACGGTTCTTCCTTTGTCCTCAGAGCCAGCAAGAGCAGGCTGAGTCCTTCTCACATGGCAGCCCCAACCTCTCGTCTGCCTCCCTCTTCCTTTTGTAAGGACGCTGTGATTACATGGGGCCACGCGGTGAATCCCGGATAGTCTTCCCATTACATCAGTTGCGTAGCAATCTTAATTCCATCTGAAACCTCGATTCCCCGTTTGCCATGTTAGGTGACGTATTCACAGGTTCTGGGGATTAGCAAACAGCCATCTTTGGGAACCATTATTCTGCTGACCACGTCCACCAAGCAGTGGATGTGGCAGCCCTGTGGTATCACTGTCTGCTCCGGGATCTGACGGTCCTGGACACCTGCATGGCTGTGTGCTGTGGTCTTTGCCTAGCCTGCGGTTCACTGTTGCTACCACCTCCCCTCATGTGCAGACCGCGTCTCTGCCAGCCTTGGCCCCGGTCAGGTAGCGGTTCACTCCCTCACCAGGGATGTCAGGTTAGTTCTGCTGCTGTCAAGGTGTGTGCCCTGGGGAGACATTGTGCTGGGCAGTAGGAGAGAAGTGAGGTGGCATCTCCACCCCCATGGTGTGCCCTGTGTACCTCTTCTATGCCTTGGGTCAAGCTTAGGAGTGGGGGCTCTGTCTACCAGGCTCCTCAACCCATGCCAGGCATTGCTTGGGGAGTCGGGCTGGAAGCTGCCTGGTCTCAGTGCCCCGAGGAAGGCCTTGGCATCTCCCGCAGAGAGTAGGGGTGGCAGGAGCCCCTCGTCACCCCAAACTGACTCCTCAGAATGCCTGAGGTGTCCTCCCACCTGCCTGCCCCCGCTCACATAACAGATGCAGTTGGTGTGCACAAGCCAGGCTGAGCTGAGCCAAGTCGCCTGTCACCTCTCCCTCTGCCAGTCACCCCAGTTGCTGGGAAGCCTGGCTTGTTGAAGCCACTCCCTGGGACGCTGTGTGGGGTGTCAGGGTCACTGAAGGGAAAGGCAGGGCTCCTCTCTGAGCAACCAGCTCCCTCCAGGCCTCATCAAGGCCCAGTGCGTGCCCTGCATGCAGGCTCCGCCATGGTCTGGCTACAACCCCACCTTGCCTGTACCCTCTGTGCGTAGAAGAGGAGTCTCCTGAGGGACAGGAGCTGGAGGTGGAGCAGGGAGGCCAGGTCGTGGGAGTATGGCTGCCACACACCCCACTCTCACCCAGGATGCTGGATCTGTTACTCACATCCCGGTGTGACCTCTGCCATCCTGCTTCATCCAGGGCAGGCATCACTCCAGGGCAGCGGGGTCCCCTTTTTGGCACCGGGGACTGGTTTTGTGGAAGACTGTTTTTCCACGGAAGAGAGGGGGATGGTTTCAGGATGATTGAAGTGCATTACATTTATTGTGCACTTTATTTCTGTTATGATTATTTGTAATATATAATGAAATGATTATACAACTCATCATAATGCAGGATCAGTGGAGCCCTGAGCTTGTTTTCCTGCAACTAGATGGTCTCATATAGGGGTGAGGGCGGACAGTGGCCCATCATCAGGCATTAGATTCTCATCAGGAGCACACAGCCTAGATCCCTTGCAGGTGCAGTTCACAAAAGGTTTTGCCCTCCTATGAGGATCTAATGCCGCCACTGGTCTGACACGGGAGGCAGAGCTCAGGCGGTCATGTGAGCAGTGGGGAGCGGCTGTAAGTACTGTGAGGTATTTACTTCACAGTAAGATGACGATGAAGCTTTGCTCACTCACCTGCTGCTCACCTGTTGTGGGGCCCAGTTCCTAACAGGCCGTGGGAGCGGCACCAGTCCGTGGCCTGGAGGTTGAGGACCACCGCTCTAAGAGATGCTCCCTAAAAACCCTTGATCTGGGAGCCAAAAGCCGTAGCCTGAGAAAGGTGCCCCTGGAATGAAAATCCCTCAAGGTGCCATTGAGCTTGAACGACTGTTTTCGTCATCTGCCCACCACCACACGTAGCCTGCTGTGTGCGTAGTAAAACTGCTCGGTTCCAGCGCTGCTCGGAGTCTTTACATCTGACTTCGCCAAGTAGGCGTGAGCTCGTAAGATGCAAATGTTCAGCAGACTACATAGTGAGGTCGAGAAGGCCCCCATGGTGGCACCTGCGGGCCCAGCCTGCGATGCAGCACACCTGGCCATTTTCACTTGGATCCTCTCCCATCCTGATGAACCCCTTAAGCCTCAGTTTCCCACTCTGTAAATGAAGGGAATAATAGTAGGCGTGAGGCCTACACACCCTTCGAAAGTTGCTCTGGTTTACAAAGCACCCGCGATTGTCAGGCTCTCTCTCTGGATGGAGACGTTCCCCTGCAGACAGAGTGTAAGCTGGGGCTCAGCAGGTGTCCTGAGCATTGAGGGTAAGGAGGCCTTCAGCTTATGGCCAGGATTTCTCAGGTTGCAAGCACAGACTAAATCCAGACCAGCAGCCTGTACTTCTTCCACTTTCGTCTGCTCTCCCTGGGTAACCCAAGGAATGCACTGGGATTCCTTGTGGGTCCCCAGAGTTCCTTTTCATAAGCGAGTGGCCCTGGGAAACCATCTTTTCCCCTTGAGCAGCAGAGTGCAGGACCCGTGACAGGTTCCGAGTTCCTCAGGTGGGGAAACAGTCAGGCGGAATGGGAGGGGAGATAGGTGCTGTCCTGCCCCTGAGTTCCTGCGCCCTGGGGCCCTGGGTGAGGTGGGAAGCAGGAGAGGGCTTGGGGGCTGCTGCCTCTGTCAGTTTGGGACTAATTGGACTCTGTCCTCTGTGCTCGCAGCCGAAGGGAGCCGATCGGAAACAGAAGACTGACCGGGAGAAGATGGAGAAAAGAACTGCCCAAGAGAAGGAGAAATACCAGCCGTCCTATGAAACCACCATCCTCACAGAGGTGAGCCGGCTGGGTGCGGGGACAGAGCCTCAAGGGCCTTCCACTAGGAGCGGGGCTGCTGGCTTAGATTCTTGGAAAATAGCCCATCTTGGCTGAGTGCTTCTGAGAGTGCTTATTCCACCGTGGTGGGTTCCAGTGTCTGGAGCTCGTGTCCATCTGATAAGACCCAGTGGCCCGGGAGGCATTTCAGAAATAACTTCCAGCTCTGCTCCCTATGAACGCGTTTGTGCTTTCCCAATTTAGGTTCCTTTGTGTTTTTGAGTAGGTAATGTATTCACATAGTTTTAAATTCCAAAGGTACGAGAGAATGTACAACAGAAAATATCCCTCTCAGTGCCATCCCTGCCTCGTGGTGTCTCCCCTCCAGGTCAGAAACCTTGTGCATCTGGCCCAACTTTGTCTGCAGGTGAAGCCAGTGCAGACACATGTTTGCCCCGTGCCTGCATTTATACACCAACGGTGTACATAGACACACCTTGCTTTTTTCCATTATTAGCTTATCTTGGTGCCTGATCCCTACAGCTTTCTAGTTCCTTACCCAGCTGCATGGCGTCATGTGTGATGACCTGTTGGTGGATGCGGGGTCGTTTCTGAGCTCCTGGAGTTTCAGGCAGTGGTGTAGTGAATAACTGTGCATGTGAAGGTCTGCACACGGGAAGCAGTCGGCAGGTTTCCTTTCTCAGTGGGATCTCTGGGTTGGAGGGTGTCGGCCTTTGTTATTTTGCTGCCTGGTTGTATTTTCTGTTAACCCGGACAGCAATGCCAGCCTGCTCCATCTCTCCATATGTCCATGGGGGAACTCCTGAGGAGCTTGTTCTTCCTCTTCCCTTTTTTTCTTTTTTTTGAGACGGAGTCTCACTCTGTTGCCCAGGCTGGAGTGCAGTGGCACAGTCTCGGCTCACTGCAACCTTGGTCTCCTGGGTTCAAGTGATTCTCCTGCCTCAGCCTTCCCCAGTACCTGGGATTACGTGCATGCGCCACCATGCCCAGCTAATTTTTTTGTATTTTTAGTAGAGATGGGGTTTCACCATGTTGACCAGGCTGGTCTTGAACTCCTAACCTCAAGTGATGTGCCCACCTTGGCCTCCCAAAGTGCTGGGATTACAGGCATGAGCCACTGTACCTAACCTCTTCCCTTTCCGAGTTGCAGCTAGTGCCTCCTTTTTCACTGGGAATTTTTGTGTGACTCTTTCCCACTGTGTTCTGCAGTCAGGCTGACTAATTGGTAGTGCTATTTGTTCATTGAGTAATTGGACTTCCTCAGAAGGCCCTCCACGTGGGTAAGGTCCCTGCCAGCCATGGTAGGATTAAGGCTGTTAGGGGTGAGGCTTGGAGCATCTAAGAGAATGGTGGCCTGGTCTTGGCTGACGAGCAGCTGCATGTATATGCGTGTGTGTACATGCAGAAGGATATTTGCAACAAGACAGTGTAAAAGCTAATTTTGTGGTCAGACAGATGTGCACTGGCGTTTTATCTGACTGAAGGTCAGTCACCTGCCTCCCCCTCAGCCCACAAAGGAGTAGCAGGATGCAAGGACTGCATTTATGGATTAGAGGCCAGACTAGTTTCTTCCTATACTTGGTTCATGCCTGTGCTGGTGCCACTGCCCAGTGTCCCCACCTCTTGATACCATTCTCTCCCTAACTGAGCCTCAACCTCTCTGCTCCTCTGCTGACTGCCCCTGGGAAGAGAGGTCCTGGTGAGCCGCTTGCCAGGTCTGTCCAAGCCCTTGCCACAGTGCAGTCTAGTTGAAAGCCCACCCTGGGAGGCGCTGGCTGCCTCTTCTACCGGCTGTTCAGCTTTCCTCCTTGGGCTGTAGGATTTAGCACCAACAGATTCGAGCCCACACTCACAACACTTAAATATTTACCAACACTGTAGTTTGGCGGGTGATAGTAAATCTTCAGGAATGCTTCAAATTGTCCCTCTCTGAAGAGGCATCACTGCAGGCAAGGGAAGAGAGGAACTTTTTCTGCTGGATGGACTTTCTCCAGCAGGCAAAACCTATACATCCTTGCTTCCTTTGGGAGACTCCACATGCATCTGTTTTTGGCTTCCATAGTAGCATGTTTTTGAGGGCAAGGATCACGTCTTTCGTGTTTGTGGATCTCCCGTAGCCCCTGGCAGAATGCCTCAAATGGAATGAGCACCGTCGAATCTCACTGAGAGGAGCTGCTTTTGGTGATTGCGCAAGGACCTTTGCCCCTGTCGGCAGGTTCTTTTTGCAAATAGCACAGGTTGTAATACTGACTCTTACTGCTTATTTTTTTTGTTTGGAAGTTGCCTGTGGCCCAGCACTCCCTATAACAGACGTTTACACGAATTTGTGTCTCCCGGGAAAAGCTGTTTCTGAGCAATTGGCCGGTTTTGTTTTTTCTCTCTCCTGGACCGACTCAAGAGTCCCGTGACTGTGAGGTTTCCTCTCTGGTGTTACTGCTGGGAAGCCCAGAGAGACCCCTTGCGCGCTTCCCTTGCTCGAGGGGTGACTTCTGAACATTTCTGCTGGTTTCCTTCCTGTGGCCCTCAGAACCTGCCCGGCCATGGCTCGTTGTGGGTACTGGCGAAGCGCAGTTTGACAGGTCGGGGTCTCATGCATTGGTGTCAGTGCATGCCTGCTGGGGAGGACCTGGGGATCACAACTCAGCACCTCTCCAGATCCCAGCTCGGCCCTGTGCTCTCTCCTGCAGTGCTCTCCGTGGCCCGACGTGGCCTACCAGGTGAACAGCGCCCCGTCCCCAAGCTACAATGGCTCTCCAAACAGCTTTGGCCTCGGCGAAGGGTACGTCCCACCTTTCTTTCTCTGGGTTTCCTGGAATGAAGACGGGCGTGCTTTCCTTTCTTAGTCTTCCTTTCTGGGTCTCCTCTCCTTTCTGTTTGGGTCTCAGAGTAGCTAACTCGTGTTGCAGTCACAACTGTCTTTAGCATTTACACAACTTTTAGTGCTCAGAAACACCCCTGTAAACGCTGTCGGGTGGGGCAGCGGCCCAGAACTTAACCGGGTGAAACCAGGACTGGTTTGAGGGTACATGAGGTCAGCCACCCGAGACAGCCTCTGGTGCCCTCTGGGGCAGAATGGCCCTCCTGACAGTGGAGCCTTAGGGAGCAGCTGTCTGGGGGGCCCTTCCTGGCTCTTTGTCCAGCATGGTCACTGAGTGTGGGGGTGAGGGGGTCTGGCTAGGGTCCTCTCTGCCTTGGGTTGCAGGCCTTACAACACAGAAGCTGGCTTCATTGCTGTCCCACACAGCTCTGCAGACACACAGGCCACATGGACCCTGAGGACACTGTGACAGGACAGTGCTGGAGCTGCAGGCAGTTTCCTAACTGTTGGGGGCTGCACGGCACGGGGCCATGGGTCACCGTGAGGGCTCTGCATGCCCTGTGCTGGCAGCAGGGATGGAGGCGGGTGAGTGCCGGGTGGAGGCTGCCTGTTTCCTGCCTGCAGGTTCGTCAGAGCCCGTGTGTGGCAGACAGAACTTTTCTAATAAGAAAGCGAGATTGTCTGTGAACCTGATTTTACCAAGGAGTCCCGGGGAAGTGAGGGTAGACACAGAAACAGTGTTATGTTTAGATTCAGGCAGACCTAGTCTTCAATCTTTGCCTTTTGCGGGGTAACTCCCTTAACCTCCCTGAGCCTCAGTTTCTCTACTGCAAAAGGGGGGTAAGAATTCTACACAGGGTTGGGACGAATGAGTGTACGATGCTCGCACCCCGTAGACACTTGGTGAGAAGTGGCGGCTGTCTTCACTGACGACCGGTCTGAGGATCAGCCCTGCAAGGGTCTCTTTTTCCCATTGTGGAGAAATAGGCATAACACAAAATTTACCGTTTTTAAGTGTGCAGTCTGGTGGCATTAAGTCCATTCACACTGTTGTGCAGCCTTCACCGCCATCCACCTGGAGAGTGCTCGGTTCTGTGCCTCCTCCCCAGTCTAGCCCCTGAGGAAGCTTGTGCACCCCCTCTCGGGAGAACAGAACAGTGCTTTTCCTCGTGGATGGATGTCAAGCCACGGGTGCTTGTTCCCTGCAAAATAACTCCCCGTGGGATCCCTCCGCCCTCTCCTCTCACCACCCGGCAGGGGGTTTGGTGGAGGACCCCTGGGTTTGGCGGCAGCCTTCCAGGCGCTGAGGCGCTGGGTGCCCTTGCTCAGCCTGTCCTTCCCTGGGGCTGGGACTTGAATCTCCAAGTTCGAGACCAGCAGGGGTCAGCCCACAGGGGCCTGGGATGTGCCGCTGATGACTCGGGTAGGGGAGTATCGTTGACTGGGGCAGTGTAGCCTGTCAGAACTTCCTGTCTACACTGAAAAAGGCTCAGTTGGGGATTTTGAGGGATTGAACGTTGGCTCCTGCTGTGTTTCTGTGACTCAGGAAATTCTTGAGGACTCATTCCACTTAGAACAAATCCTGCACCTAACGGCAAGTGAAAGTGCCAGGCTGGGTGCCGGGATGTTGGCCATGGCCCTGGGAGCCCCCTCCGTCCTCATCACTGGTTCCTTTTCCTTTGCAGCAACGCCTCTCCGACGCACCCGGTGGAGGCCCTGCCCGTGGGCAGTGATGTAAGTGTCTGAGCAGGGCTTTCCGGCTGGCGGTCCCTCGTGGGCCCTGAGCCGTCATCTCAAGCCTCTCCCCTCTGCCCACAGCACCTGCTCCCATCAGCCTCGATCCAGGACGCCCAGCAGTGGCTGCACCGCAACAGGTTCTCGCAGTTCTGCCGGCTGTTTGCCAGCTTCTCGGGTGAGCATCTCTGAATTGTCTTTAAAGCCCGTGAGCATCTTGGAAACACGTAGCAAGGCTGGCCACCTTCCGGGACTTGCTCTTGACCCAGGCAGCGCCGTCGTTTCGGCTGGGAGACCCAGGGCAGTGTGGGTTCACTCGCTCACGTGCCCCAGCCCTGGGCCAGGTGCTAGACGTAGGAGATGCTGTCCCCAGAAGGTCCCAGGTGAGCGTGACTTTAGGGGGACCATCTGGGTGACTTGGTCAAGATCCCCTCTCCTGCGGGGGATGGTGGGCTCTGGTCTGCCCGGGAAGAGTTCCCTTAGCCCGGCAGGGTGATGTAAGGCCGGCCCCTTATGCTTTTCCTACCCAAATACTGCTCCTCACACTGGCTCCAGAGCCACGACCTGGGAGATCGAGGTAAAGCCATGGGTGAGACAGAAAGGGGGCTCTTCCTTCTTTAAAACGTTTCAGAGCCCTTCCTGATGGGCCCTCAGACAGAAGTCCCAAGCTGGGTATTGTGGGGTGCAAAGGTGAACTGAGCAGTGAGCCTTGCCAGCAAGTAGAGCTCATCCACAGTGACAGAGTAAAGGCTTGGCCACAGCTAGAGGGGCGGATTCCACAGACATCTGTGGCAGTGGAAGAGAAGTGGCGCCTGCGTACCCTCAGCTCGGCCTTGCTGAGAGCCTGTTGGGGGACGGTCCCTGGGCGGGGAAACACAGCGACTCTGTCCTTGGGAGCTTGTAGCTATAAGTCAGTACAGATGCATAGACTGCTCATTTCAGTGCGGTGCGACCTGTGTGATTGGGGTGGGGGTTCAGAGAGGACCCTGAGCTGGACTGGGTGGAGGAGGGGGAGGAATGCCGGCTGTGGTCTTAAGTAGGGCAGTCAGCCACCTTGTGGGCACCTGCCTTGTGTGGTCACAGAGCAGGGGACCCAGGTGGAGTGGAGTGGCCCAGGGAGGAGATGTCAGAAAGGTACGGAGGGACACGGACAGGATGGGGGCCCTGGAAGAACAGTGGAAGGACTTCGGCTTTTACTCCCAGTGGAAAGGAAGCCATTGTGTCTATAGAATTGTACCTAAAACCGTATCTTATTGTGGTGGGAAGAGAGGGGTGGGAATCGTGGCCTTGGGCAGGCTTTCAGCTGAGGCTGAGATACTCGTACCTTGGAGAGTGTGTGGGACCAGGCTCTCGGGGACCCCCTTGGACTTTGAGGAAGGGGCAGCCCTCACGCTGTGCTCGCTTCTGTCCCCATGAGATAGTCGCCTTCCCGTGTTCCTTTATATGTGGGCCCGTCCTCACATGCTGCTAGTGGGACCATACATGGATGTAACAGTCTGGGAAACTGCTGGCAGTATCTGCCAGAGCCAAACACACCCTACGGTCCCACAGGCCTCTCCGGGGCTGCACCTGGCAGCCACGCACCTGTGCAATGAACAAAGACATGTATGAGAGCATTCAGAGAGCCTGTTCCTAACAGCCCAGACCAGAATCCCCCACAGCGCCCATCCACACAAAGTGGGTATGCGAATTGTGGTGTGGACATACAATGATAATAGGTGATAACGGGCACGAACAGTCTGTGACTGCATTCCGCACAAATGCACCGTGAAACATGACTAGGAGAGAGGGAAGCCAGACCAGGAGGAGTGCCGACCGTTCAGTCCCACGTACAGAAACTTCAGAGAACGTGCACAACGTGTCTGCACTGTAGCAAGTCAGGATAGTGGCTCCCCTGGGTGGGAGTAGGGGTGGTGGCTGGCACAAGGGGCCTACAGGAGGCTGGTAATGTTCCACTGCTTGCTCTCAGTGCTGGGTCCCGGGGTGTATTCAGATTGTCAGCATCCAGCGAGCCGTATACTTCCATATACAGACAGATGCACACATGGCCAGTGCCCTGTGCCGATGACATCTGTGCATACAGATTATGTGTCAAAAAAAGAGAGAAGAGGCCAGATGCAGTGGCTCATGTCTCTAATCCCAGTACTTTGAGAGGCTGAGGTGGGTGGACTGCTTGAGCCCAGGAGTTCAAGACCAGCCAGGCTAGGCAATATAGTGACACCTCGTCTCTTTTAAAAAAAAAAAAGAAAGCAAGCAGGGCAGGCGGTGGGGGCCCTTTGGCTTCTGTTGTACACACTGTTGTGAGCCCTGGCAGTTCCTGGGCTGTGATCTTCTGATGTCGTTGGGCATTTTGCCATTTTCTCTCTGTGAGGTGGTGCATCTGGCTCTTCCCCACCCCTTACCCCCAGTGCTATGGGGTCTGCCGGTGCTTGGGGAACGAGCACTTTCTCTGTGTCCCAAGTAACAGGCATCGCCATTTTTCTGCTTAGGTGCTGACTTGCTGAAGATGTCCCGAGATGATTTGGTCCAAATCTGTGGTCCTGCAGATGGAATCCGGCTCTTCAACGCCATCAAAGGCCGGTAGGTGTCGGTTTCTCTGTGAAGCCAGCCAGAGGCTCATGTGGTGGGAAGCTCCTACCTCAGCCTCTTGGACGGCGGGTGGTCTGGCCTGGGGGGGGCAGGGCTCCTGCAGTGTGAGGTCAAGTGTAGGAGGAAGTGTGGCAAGTGGGGCACAGGCCACAGCAGGGGAGTGAGACACTGCAGTGGGAGATGTGACCGGCTGCCGCAGACCCTGCCTGGAGGTCCCTCCCTCTTCTTGGTTGGACGAGAGCCTTGGCCTCTGGATCTTGGCCTCTGAGCCCCTTGCCCATGTTCCCAGATGCTTGTGTGGTCCTGGGCTCGGAGCTGCTCCCTCCCTGAGGGGAGCTGTGGACTGGGGCCGGTCCGATGGTATCGTGCAGCCGTTTCAGGGCAGACTCCGGAGCAGCGCCATCCTGCACACCTTCCTGCCGTGGCAGAGACGTTCTGCAGCCGTGCTGGCCACGTGTGGCTGTGGAGCACTTGGACCGAGGCTGACGTGATGGACAAAATTTTTATTTAACTTTAGTGAATTTAAGTGTGAATAGCCACACATGGACAGCATGGTTTTAGAGTGAGAGCCTGGGTTCGAGTCCCAGATCTGCCTCTTAGGTGCTGTGCAGTGAAGGGAAAGCCGTTTGCCCTGCGAGCCTCAGTTTCCTCAACTGTGAAATGACAGCAGTGGTCCTAGCTCCCTCGCAAGTTGTGTGAGGATGAAATGAGTTACGCGTGTTCTGAGAACAATACCTGGTACACAGCAAGCCACAGACAGCGCTTGCTCTCATTGTTGCCTGAAAACGTCTTGTATGTTGAGCTTCGTGGTTTGGGGCAGAGCGCCCCTTGGCAGGCTGCGGGGCCTGGGAGGGTCATTCACCACCCCATGACGGGCCCTCCGCGTCACCAGCGCTGTCTTTCTTCCTCCCCCAGTTCTGCCCACTATTGTTTCCATCCTGAAATATTCTGAAACAACTGCGCCTGGTCCACCACACCTAGTATTTATTTTCTCTTCTCCTGCCAGGAATGTGAGGCCAAAGATGACCATTTATGTCTGTCAGGAGCTGGAGCAGAATCGAGTGCCGCTGCAGCAGAAGCGGGAGGGCAGTGGAGACAGCAACCTGTGTGGTGAGTGGTGGGGAGCAGAGCTGGGACCCACACATCGGGTCCCGCAGCCTGGCTTTCAAGCACGCAGTCCGGCCTCTGTTCATTTCCAGTGAATATGCAGGACAGTCCTGGGCTCCCACGTGCCCACATGTGGAAAGGGCAGCCCAGTGCATGCTCCTTGCATGGTGCATGGTCTGACCTCGTGATAGCCCTGCAGTGTGGGTGCTGCCTCAGTGCACACCCCGAGGCTTGGGAAGCTGTTGGGATTGTCCCAGATCTTGCTTCCAGTGAGTGGCAGTCGGGACTGGAGCCAGGAATGCCCACCCTGGAGCTTTTTGTTTCCTCAGACTGCTCCCCATGCAGCTCCTGATGAGAAGAGGCTCTCTCCAGGACCTAAGAGGCGTGGCCGTCTGCCTTTCTGCTCCCATCGAGCACTCCCAGTGGCCATGGGGAAAGGCGTCAGCCTGGGATCCTGCTACTTCTTTTTGCTGGCAGCTTGGTTTGTTTTAGGAGCAAAATTATGGCTGGGTGTGGTGGTTCACACCTATAATTCCAGCACCTGGGGAGATGGGAGGATTGCTTGTGCCCAGGAGTTCAAGGCCAGCCTGAGCAACATACCAAGACCCAGTCTCTAAGTATTGAAAAAGTAGGCCGGGCGCAGCAGCTCACGCCTGTAATCCCAGCACTTCGGGAGACCGAGGCGGGCAGATCACTTGAGGTCAGGAGTTTGAGACCAGCCTGACCAACATGGTGAAACCCCATCTCTACTAAAAAAAAAATACAAAAATTAGCCATGCATGGTCGTGCCTGTAATCCCAGCTGAGGCAGGAGAATCATTTGAACCTGGGAGGCGCAGGTCACAGTGAGCTGAGATCACGCCACTGCATTCCAACCTGGGTGACAAAGTGAGACTCTGTCTCAGGAAAAAAAAAAAAAAAAAAGAAAAGTGCATACCCCCACACCTGGCTAATTCTTATATGTTTTTGTAGAGATGGAGTCTCATTCTGTTGCCCAGGCTGGTCTTAAACTCTTGGGCTCCAGAGATCCACCTGCCTTGGCCACCCAGAGTGCTGGGATTGTAGGCATGAGCCACCACGCCCACCTGTGTGTGCTTTTAAAATATTGGGCCTCTGATGAGGTTTATTGGTTATTGAACCAAGGGTTTCTCAGGTGAGGGAAAGGCTTGGGACTCTTGAATTTAATCCAATTGCATTTGCTTTTGAGGAACTTGAGGTCCCTTGAAGTTGAGTAACCCACCTTGGGTTGCTGGTGGCATTTGCTCCTGCCTGGTTGGTGCGGGCTGTGTCTGTGTCAGTGTCAGTGTTTTCTTCCCACTTGCTGACACCGTGGTGCCTTCCTGGTGCCCCCTTCTCTCCTTAGGGTTACTGTATTGAGGCTGAGTATGGTCTGTGTTGCAGGGAGGGAAAAGACGTTCACTCATTGCCCTCCAGCTATCCAAGAACCCTTTAAACAGCAAAGGAGCTGAAAAGAGACAGAATTTGTTCCTTTCTTCTGACGTGGGTTCACATGTGGCTGATATCAGAATTGCCTGATACTCCCTTTAGCCCAGCTGGGTGTCACTGGGCCGGGGATGGGTCTAGGGATCTCTGCATTTCACATAAGCACCCCAAGAGAGACCGAGAGGACTCAAGAGTGGCAGCTCGGCTGGGTGTAGTGTCTCATGCCTGCACTTTGGGAGGCTGAGGCGAGCGGATCACCTGAGGTCAGGAGTTTGAGACCAGCCTAGCCAACATGGTGAAACCCCATTTCTACTAAAAATACAAAAATTAGCCAGGTGTGGTGGTGCACACCTGTAATCCCAGCTACTTGGGAGGCTGAGGTAGGAGAATCACCTGAACCTAGGAGGTGGAGGTTGCAGTGAGCCGAGATCACACCACTGCACTCCAGCTTGGGTGATGGAGCAAGACTCCGTTGCAAAACAAAACAAAAAGAGTGGCAGTGTGGCCCTGCCCCGCCGCCCTGGGCGTGGCGTTTTGACAAAGGACTTACTGCTTTCTCAGGGCAGGTGAGAGGGCACAGGCAGGCTCATGCTGACGGAATGGCCACTTGGAAAGCAGCACTTGTTCTTCCTTTCCCCAGTGTACCACGCCATCTTCCTGGAAGAGCTGACCACCTTGGAGCTGATTGAGAAGATCGCCAACCTGTACAGCATCTCCCCCCAGCACATCCACCGAGTCTACCGGCAGGGCCCCACGGGCATCCATGTGGTGGTGAGCAATGAGGTGAGGGCTGCTGCCCGGCCTGCCCCAATAACGGGCTCTGGGCCACGAGAGGAGCGTCAGAACCCCTGCCCCGGAAACACACTCGGGTTTGGGAGTGACAGACAGGTTCATCTGCATGCCACCTGCAGCTGGGGCTGTCCAGGGCTGCAGTAGAGAGTGCGGAGGCCCCTTCTGGGTCTGAATGGCTGCCATGTGGAGTAGGCACTCCTTACCCCTCCTGGGCTGGGTGCCCTGTGGGAGCCAGGAGGACAGACTCCACTCTGGCCCAAGGTGCTTACAGTCAGGGCTGTGGAGGTCACGAGAGGGGCGTTCCCCCAGGGTGGGCGACAGGCCCCAGGGAGAGGTGAAATGGACTCAGGGGCCGGTGATGGCGAGGCTGTGGCTTGTGGGAGAGGAGAGCAGAGGCCTCTGCCAAATGGTGAAGGTGCCACAGCGCAGTGCAGAGCACGCGTAGCTACTGGCAGAGGGCTCAGGTACTGTGGTCTGCAGGGATCTGATCCAACTCATGGCTAAGAAGGGAGTGTTGAATATGCCTGCCGACAGGGTTAGGCATTCTTTGCATGTTGTAGAACAGAGGCTTTTAAGTTTGTTCTATCCTGGACCCCTTCCACCTAATAACGGGAGTGTATACTTGTTTTAAGTGTATGCATAGTGACTCATTTAATCCTGCCTGCCTCTATAGGATGTGGGTGCTATTATTATCCAATTTCACAGATGGGGGACTGAGGCACAGAGGCTGAGTAATTGCCCCAGGTTGCACAGCGGGTAAGGGGTGGAGCTATGGTGGAAACCCAGGGACTGCAGCTGCAGGGTCAAGCTCTGAGCCTGCAAGGTACCTAGCCCCTGCTGAAGTGAAACCTTTATTTATTTATTTTAAAATTTTTGTATTAGGGCTGGGCGCGGTGGCTCCCACCTATATACAATCCCAGCACTTCGGGAGGCCGAGGCGGGTGGATCACGATGTCATGAGATCGAGACCATCCTGGCTAACATGGTGAAACCCCGTCTCTACTAAAAACACAAAAAAATAGCCGGGTGTGGTGGCGGGCGCCTGTAGTCCCAGCTACTCGGGAGGCTGAGACAGGAGACTGGCATGAACCCAGGAGGTGGAGCTTGTAGTGAGCCGAGATCGTACCACTGCACTCCAGCCTGGCGACAGAGCGAGACTCTGTCTCAAAAAAAAAAAAAAAATTGTACTGAAAAAAAAATTGAGACAGGATCTTGCTGCATTGCCCAGGCTGGTCTTGAACTCTTGGGCTCCAGCGAGCTTCCTGCCTCAGCTTCCCAAAGTGCTGAGATTACAGGTGTGAGCTACCGCGCCCAGCCTTTTGTTGTTGCTGTTTTTGTGAGACAAGGTCTTGCTTTATCACTCAGGCTGGTGTGATCTGAGCTTACTGCAACCTCCACCTCCCCAGGCTCAGGCCATCCTCCCTCCCTCCCTCCCGCTGCTCAGGCTCCTGAGCAGCCGGGACTACAGGCACTCACCACCACGCCGGCCTAATTTTTTGTAGAGACAGGGTTTTGCCATGTTTCCCAGACTGGTCTCAAACTCCTGGGCTCAAGTGGTCCACCCACCTTGGCCTCCCAAAGTGCTGGGATTACAGGCGTGAGCCACCGCACCAGCTGAAGTGAAGCCTTTAAACATAGAGCTGTGGCTGGGCACGGTCGCTCAGGCCTGTAATCCCAGCACTTTGGGAGGCTGAGGTGGGCGGATCACCTGAGGTCGGGAGTTCGAGACCAGCCTGACCAACATGGAGAAACCCCGTCTGTACTAAAAACACAAAATTAGCTGGGCATGGTGGTGCACGCCTGTAATCCCAGCTACTCAGGAGGCTGAGGCGGGAGATCGCTTGAATCTGGGAGGCGGAGGTTGCGGTGAGCTGAGATCATGCCATGGCTCTCCAGCCTGAGCAACAAGAGCAAAACTCTGTCTCAAAAACAAAACAAAACAAACAAAAAACATAGGACTGTCCTGGTGGGAGCGGGATGAGGTCGTATGCCTGCAGTTCAGCCCCCAGCAGACCCTGAGCACTTCTGGGAACTCTGAAGGCGTCTGTATAGCGGGTTATAGAGCCCCGCCTGACCCTGTGCCAGCATAGGAGTGGTAGGACACAAGGCCAGCATTTGTGGATTAAGACTCCGATTTGTTTCTTCCCATCCCTGGTCCTTGCCTTTGCTGGTGATGCTGCTAAGAGTGTTCCTGACCTGGTGACACTGAGTATAGAAACAGTGGCTGGGAAAAGTAGAGAAAATACAGGCTTTGGAATTGGACTGATGTCCCCACCCGAAGCTACCTCCTAGTTGCTGAATGACTTTGGGGAAATTTACTGAACCTCTCTGTGCCACAGTTTCCACATCTGCAAAACAGGGATGCATATGCATATACCTGTCAAACAGGCTGTAGTACAGATAAGGTGGGAGAACAGTGGCAGGTGCCAGGAGACACTAAACAAGTGGTGGGTGGTGTCATTGACCGTGATTCTGCGGGGCACTTGTTATTTGGGGGAGTGAGTGGTGGAGAGATCTTTTGAGATTTGGGGATGTATAAAAATGTCAGGCTTTTCAGGGTTTGTATATTTCACAGATTGACATTACTAGTAACAATCCTCTTGCCACTTGTCATTACAACTGCCAGAGCCCTTGAATGTTCATGAGCACTTCATCTCAGTCCTGGAGGCCAGCAAGGTAGACTTCCCTGTCTTTTACATTGAAAAGTAATTTGTAGGCTGGGCGCGGTGGCTCAAGCCTGTAATCCCAGCATTTTGGGAGGCCGAGACGGGCGGATCACGAGGTCAGGAGATCGAGACCATCCTGGCTAACACGGTGAAACCCCCTCTCTACTAAAAAAAATACAAAAAACTAGCCGGGCGAGGTGGCGGGTGCCTGTAGTCCCAGCTACTCAGGAGGCTGAGGCAGGAGAATGGCGTAAGCCCGGGAGGCGGAGCTTGCAGTGAGCTGAGATCCGGCCACTGCACTCCAGCCTGGGCGACAGAGCAAGACTCCGTCTCAAAAAAAAAAAAAGATAAGTAATTTGTAATTAGTATAAGAAGTTAAGCAACATAGAACAGCAGAAGGCACATGTGAAAAACCCTTACCTGCCCCATTCTTTTCTCCTGGAAGAGCTTCCATTAGGTTTGATGGGATTCTGAAAGGCAGTTTTTTTGTGCTCTAGTCTCTGTGTGTGCCCTAGTGTACGTAGGTGTGGGTTTTTAAAACACGCAGGCCGGGCACGGTGGCTCACATCTGTAATCCCAGCACTTTGGGAGGCTGAGGCAGGTGGATCACCTGAGGTCAGGAGTTCAAGACCCACCTGGCCAACATGAGGAAACCCTGTCTCTACTGAAAACACAAAAGTTAGCTAGGTGTGGTGGTGCGCGCCTGTAATCCCAGCTACTTGGGAGGCTGAGCCAGGAGAATCACTTGAACCCTGGAGGCAGAGGTTTCAGTGAGCTGAGATTGTGCCACTGCCCATCTCAAAAAAATAAAAAATAAATTAAAACATGAAGCAAACATGCAGCCGTACATTTATCTGCAACTTGCTATTTTTGTCACCAGTTCAGCAGTTAAGAATTACTTGTATATTATTACATTCTTACATTCAAATCTAATCCAGCTTTTTTTTTTTTTTTTTTTTGGAGACATGGTTTCACTCTGTAACCTAGGCTGGAGTGCAGTGGCCCAGTCACAGCTAAACTTATTGAAGCCTCTACTTCCTGGGCTCAGGTGATCCTCCTACCTCAGCCTTCTGAGTAGCTGGGGACCACAGGCATGTGCCACCATGCCTGGCTAATTTTTTTTTTTTTTTTTTTTAGAGACAAAATTTCGCCGTGTTGCCCCAGCTGGTCTTGAACTCCTGGGCTCGAGCAGTTCACCTGCCTTGGCCTCCCAAGGTGCTGGGATTACAGGCATGAGCCACTGTGCTTGGCCTAGCTATTTTTTTTCTTGAACTCTTATTTTACAGAGGAGGAAAATGAAGCCTGAGGTTCCTAACCTGAAAGCTGACTTTAGAATAGCCAGGAAGGTGGACATGCTGTGAGCAGTGGACAGCTGTAGTGTCACCAAAGGCTTGTCACTTTGCATTTCAAAATGAATTTCCTTTTGTGAAGACAAAAACCAAAAATGTGGGGAACCCTTGCAGTTTCACGGGTCCTGAAGGCCGTTCCTTCCTCAGCTTGTCCTGTGTGCTCAAGAGTAGGCAGTGAAGCAAGTGAAGCAGAGAGCAGAACCGAAATGCCACCTCGCCTAAGTAGGCGATTCTCATTCCCGAAAGTCTCCTTGCCTCTTAACCCTGAATCTATTGGAAACCTTTGGTTCTTAATTGCCCGGAGTGCTGGAGGCAGCCTGGCCAGCCGCGGAGCCGGCCCCTGGGGTGCAAGGGCACTTCATTAAACAAGAGAGTTACTGATTAAGCCCATGTGGGCTCTGCGTAGGGCTTTGCATGCCCAAGTGGCTGGGCTGCCAAGAGTCCTAGATGGAGCAGGCCAGCAGAATAGAGTAAATGTACTTCACGCATCATTAGGTCCTGTGGGAGGGGCAGGGGGCGACAGGTGGATGGATTTGCAAGATTCGAGGCAGTAATCCAGAGCAGGCCATAAAATGTGGATGACATTTTTTCAGTTTGAAAAAGGGTTCTGCCATTGTGTTAGCGTGTGTGTGTGTGTGTGTGTGTGTGTGTGTGTGTGTTTGTGTGTGTGTGTGTGTGTATTGTGTGTATGTTTATATATTTTATTTTTGTTTTTTTGGAGACAGTCTCGCTCTGTCACCCAGGCTGAAGTGCAGTGATGTGATCTTAGCTCACGGCAACCTCCGCCTCCTGCGTTCCAGCGATTCTCCTGCCTTAGCCTCCAGAGTAGCTGGGATTACAGGCACCTGCCACCATGCCCGGCTAATTTTGTACTTTTAGTAGAGATGGGGTTTCACCATGTTGGCCAGGTTGGTCTGGAACTCCTGACCTCAGGTGATCCACCCACCTCGGCCTCCCGAACTCCTGGGATTACAGGCGTGAGCTACCACGCCCGGCCTGTTTATATATTTTAAAAATATTCTTTAAATGTAAATTGTGAAATGCAGTATAAATATGGAAAGAATTTATAAAACTTACTTGTACAGTTAAAGAACCATTGAAGTACCCATGTACCTGCACTCAGGGTACCAGAATGTTGTGTTAGAAGTCCCTTTGTGGACTGATTTCGTAACAGCCAACTGGCTGTATGAATTTTCTATGAAGCATTCCCTTGTTCCTCCTCGATATATTGTTTAATTTTGCTATTTAAAAACTTTCTGTGAGTGAAATCATAGTGTATTCTTCTGTGACTTCTTTCATTTCACATTTTGTTTGGAAGGTCAGGCATGTTGTAGTATACAGCTGGAGCTCACTGGCACCGCTGAGGAGCACGATTCCATCACAGCTGGTTCGTGCTTCTGCTGTTGATTGACAGGGCTGGTAGGAGTTTGGTGTTACTGCAGACGATGCTGTGCTCACCAGCCTCATGCCCGTCTTTGTGATGTAGGAGTTTGTCCAGGGCTCATGACTTGGAGGAGAATGTAGGAAAACTTCCTTGTTGGAAATGCATGGTCATTCTTACTGGGTCCCATGAACAGTGTTAGAAAGATTTACATCCCCGTCAGTAGTGGACACCAGTTCCTGTCTGCATTCTGGTTATATTTTTATCACTAAATCAGCGCCGTTTTACAGATAGGGCTGTGGAGACAGGAAGTTAAAAAGGTTGGCTTGTGCAAGGTCACTGGGTAGTTCGTCAAAATTACAACTCCAGAGAGGAGGCTCCTGAGCAGAGCCGTTAGTTTCCTGCCACATTTATAGACACAGGTAGTGGAACCCTCCTTTATATTCTGTCTTTGGAGGATGCTGATGTGTAGATCCTACTAAGTACCAACGTTTCTATTTTTAAAAACATTGTATTTAGTTGTTTTTATCTGTTGCTGTCAGTCACATACACATTCCTATAAAGTGTCCGTTACAGAGACTGGAAGAGTCAGTAACTAGGAAAAAGCAAAAACAGTGCAAACAAACACAAATCAAGTGGTCCAGTATTAAATGCTAACATCTTGATTCCCGTTTGGGCCTCTTTCCATCCTTCATATTCATACTAGATGGTTGGGGTTATGTTCAGCTTTCTGTTACTTAAATTGCAATCATGTCACACTTTGATTCTGTGTCCTCATTTTTCAGTGAATGTTGTAGCCGAACCGTGTTCCTACTGTGTTCGTAGGCACCGAGGCAGTGGCGTTTACCGTGTTCCTGCGTGTGTAGGCACCGTGGCAGTGGTGTTTACCGTGTTCCTGTGTGTGTAGGCACCGTGGCAGTGGTGTTTACCGTGTTCCTGCGTGTGTAGGCACCGTGGCAGTGGTGTTTACCGTGTTCCTGCGTGTGTAGGCACCGTGGCAGTGGTGTTTCTGCAGCTGTGCGTGGCTGGGCTCTGCCCCCGAGGCTTTCCAAACTTCAACTCATGGTTGAAGGAACATGTTCTCTTTTTTGTCTTTCAGATGGTGCAGAATTTCCAAGATGAATCCTGTTTTGTCCTCAGCACAATTAAAGGTGAAGCCTCCCCCTCCCCCTGTTTCTTCCCCCTTTCTTGTTTAATTGAAGCGAGTGAGCTGCATCCCTGGGGTAGTCGTGGGGGCAGGTGGAGGGTGGGGCCTTCCTGCAGGATGGGCCCTTCTAGAGAGTGCTGACCTGGGAAAAGCCTTTGAGAAAAAGAAAGCACAAACTCTCTGTGAAAGCTAGCCCTAGAAATGGCAGAACAAGTGAGACTGGCCCCCAGGGTCACTTCTGAAAGGGAAATCCCGGGCCAGGCAACTTGTTCTCTACGAATTCAGTGTTGAGTAGAAGCAAGATGCGTTGTGGGTTTCCTGGAGTCCTCTAGGAAGATCAAGCCCAGAATACAGCCACTGAGTCTGCAGGCAGCGTGGGTCGGGATGGGGGGCGAGGGGGGCCCACCTGACGGTGTGCCTGTGCTCTGCCGAGAAAGAGCTTGTGGACCGGGAACATGTATTTATTCATTAAAGGTAGAGAAAGACCTGCTGTGGCCTTCCTAAGGGCTGGGGTTAGGGTATGTCAGAACAAAAGCCCTCTGACCACTCATAGACCCTGGACCATGAGAAGGCCACTTCTCACCTTGTCCTGTGGATCTAACCACGGAGTGTCTTTAGGGTTCTGGGGGCCATAATATCCCTGAGAACCACAGTTGTCCAAATCCTCCTTGGAACATAGGTTTTCATCCTTGGGCGTAGGACTATGGTAGAAAGACCTATTGTCGAAAAGACACTAAACGAGGCAGATGTCAGGGCCTGTGAGATCCCTGCTTCTGCCAGCACACTTTGCTGTATGCAGCCCTATTTTGGTGGTCTTTGCTAATACCCTAACAGCATGCCTTTTGGGACTCCCCAGTACTGTGGCACTGCACCTTTCTTCCTGTGAAATACACTCAGTGTTTCTCTCTTGCAGCCGAGAGCAATGATGGCTACCACATCATCCTGAAATGCGGACTCTGAGCAGCAGTGGGCCTTGTACCTGCCTCCAGCTCCCAGCCCTGTGGATCCCCGTGGATGTAGACATTGCCTCACTGTAAGCTGTGGCCTCACCAGGCAAGCTGAGGCCAGGAGGGACCCTGCCCAGTCTGTGAAAGCTACAGAGCACCAACCAGCAGAAGCCTGTGGACACCAAGTACAGTGTACAGAAAGCCAGTGGCTCCTTTCTCCCTTCCTCTTGGCCTCCAGATTTTGAGTGGTTCCTTGTTCTTTTCCGTTGGTCCAACCCTGACATTCTAAAAGGGCAACCAGTGGAGACGTCTGCTCTGAAACCCCTCATCCCTTAGTTGGAAGCTGATTGGGTATCTTGGTGCCACCTGTATTGGTCCCTTCTGACCACTCTCCTGCCTCCAGAGAAAGCTCTGCTTCACCCTGGAAGCTGCTACCTTTACCTCCTCTTCTGGGAGTTGGCTGCATGGCCAGCACTGCTGACTTGATGGGAGCAGTTTGCCCTCATTCTCCTGTTTCAGGTTTGCTTCCCTTCTCCGTGACCCTGGTCAACATCCGCCTTTCCTGTTCTTGGCTGAATGGATGGGAGTGGGGCTATTCTGTGCCTTCTACCTCTTTCTTCTCTACGTTGTTTCTAAGGATTTGCTGCTGCAGAACCCAAAGATGTGCTCCTGTCTCTGCACTGGTGCCTTGACATGGTAGATGCCACAGTGTATGTGCACTGCCTTTCTCACAGACATTAGTTCTGAGGCCCTTTGTGGGGCGGTTAGGGGGCTGGTAATAGAAAAAGACTATTTTATTTCCTGGCAATCATGGGTAAGGAGGATTAGGAATGAGCATCCCATCGTGTCATCGGATGACCTTGACCACCACAATACCAGGCCCTCTTGGATGGACTTATAGAAAGTTAGAGAAGACCTTGGTGAACCGCTGCTAAACTTGCCACAGGAACATTGTATTTTCTCTGGGTACCCCTCACTTAAACGTTTATCTTTGTTTGTTTGTAGGGGCTCTGTTTAGGGTCTTTTGCCTGCATCAGACTGGGTTCGTCGTCTTTCTTAATGACCTAACTCTGGGGAAATTTGAGTGTCAGTAACTGCGGTAGACTCAGAAATTTGTCTTGGCCTTGCCTCTGGTTCCTGGGATCCAGTGGTCTCCGCTGGCCCAGGGCTTCAGCTCTTTGTTAATTGAGGTTCATGGGAACCTTCTGACCACCTGAATGGGATGTCATAGCTTCTAAATGGAGCTTCTGTGGAATGAAGTGCTAGACTGAAGGATTACCAGAATAAAACAGGGTCTACCATGGGTAGAACTTGTTTTATATATGAGGAAGCCAAGGCTCAGAGGAGCAAAGTCACCTGCATGGTAGCACATAGTGATAGGGTAGTGATATAAATTTATCATATGAACCAGGACATTTCAGAATAAAAGGGGCTCTGTTAGTCATTCTGTTGGATAATAGCCGTGGCATTCCTACAGAATAGAGTGAGGACAGGCTCCTGATTCCTCTTCCTTCTTTAGAGGAGAAGCGGGGAGTGGGTTAACTAACAGCTTTATTGAGGTATCATTCACATGCCATACAGTTTACCCATTGCTAGTGTCCAATTCTATTGTTTTTAGTAAATTCACAGAACCACAGTCAATTCACAGAATTACAATCAACGTTGGTACATTTTCATCACCCCCAGTAGAAACCCCGTACCCTTTGTCTGTCACTCCCCTACTTTCCCAACTCCTGCAGTCCAAGGCAGCCATGAGTCTACTTTCTATGTAAGATTGACCTACTCTGGACATTTCATATATCTGGAATCATGTGATATCTCTTTTGGGACTGGCTTCCTCCACTGAATGTTTTCTAGGGCCGTCCAAGTTGACGGCCCTAGAAAGTACTGAATCAGTACTTCATTCCTTTGTATTGCTGAATAATACTTCATTGTATAGATAGACTACATTTGTTTATTGATTCATGAGTTGATGGACATTTGTGTGTTTTTACTTTTTGGCTACTCTGAATGATGCTACTATGAACATATTTCTACAAGATTTTATGTGGACATATGTTTTCATTTCTTTTGGGAATATACATAGGAGCGGAATTGCTAGGTCTTACAGTAACTCTGTGTTTAACTTTTTGAGAAACTAGCAGACTGTTTTCTACAGCAGCTGTACCATTTTACATTCCCACCAGCAATGTATCCAGGTTTCAATTTCTGTACATCCTCATCAACACTTGCTATTATCTGTTTTTTTGCTTTTAGCATCCTAATGACTATGAAGTGCTATCTTGTTGTGGTTTTGATCTGCATTTCCCTGATGGCTACTTATGTGAAGTGTCTTTTCCTGTGCTTATGGGCCATGCATATTTCTTCTTTGGAGAAAGGTCTATCCAGATCTTTTGCCAATTTTTAATTGAGTTGTCTTTTTTTTTTTTTTTTTAAGTTTTCTATTTTTTTTTTTACTAGACTACCAGGGATGGGCCTTCTTTTTATTATTGAGTTGTTTTTTTTATTTGTATATTCTAAATGCTAGTCTTTTATCAGGTATATGATTGGTTAAAACGTTCTCCCATTCTGTGGATTGTTTTCACTTTCTTGATGGTTTTTTTTTAGACACAAAACTTTTTAATTTTGATGATTTCCAAGATACCTATTTTTTTTCTATTGTCACTTGTGCTTCGGGCGGATCAGAGGTCCAGGAGCTCGCAGACCATCCTGGCTAACACGGGAAACCCGTCTCTACCTAAACAAATACAAAAACTAAGCCGGGCAAGGTGGCGGGCGCTGTAGTCCCAGCTACTCGGGCGAAGGCTGAGGCAGGAGACATGGGTGCAACCCGGGAGACACAGAGCTTGGCAGCTCGCAGCCGCGATCCGCCACTGCACTCCAGCCCTGGGCGACAGAGCAAGGCTCCGTCCTCAAAAAAAAAAAAAAACTCGTGGGACCAAAACACAGACTAGAGAAAAAAAAAAAAAAAAAAAGGATAAAGCTTCCCACCACCACCACATCCCAGGAAGAAGACAGTAAGGAAGCATGAGGCCCCTTTAGGGTAAGGGTGCAGACAATTTCCGTGGAGAAAGCCATATTCTTCTCAAAATCAGCCAGTGGACAATGGAGATCCAAAAGCCAAAAGAATGAACGCTGGACCCCTACTTCACATCATATATAAATATACTCGAAATGGATCAAAGACCATTGTGAGAACTAAAACTATACAAGTTCTTCGAGAAAACATAGTCATTAATTTTTTGACCCTTT